CAAAACTTCAAATATATATTTCTTATCCTTACACACATGTTGTGTGACAAAGGTTCATAACTCTAGTGTGATTATTTCTAGAATTATTCCCCTTGATCTTGGATATTTATGTTAACAAATTTGTTTTTTTACTATAACTTAATACATAATTATACATAATTGATTTTTCTTTTCATAGTTTTGTCCTCCTTACTGCGTCCAGTATTTTATTAGTCGAGATTCGCTGTCTCCTGTGACAGCTCTTGTATTATATTACTGTCTTCACGTTATGCTAATATTATATAACTGTGTTCACGTTATGCTAATATTATATAACTGTCTTCACATTATGCTTATATTATATAACTGTCTTCACATTATGCTTATATTATATAACTGTCTTCACATTATGCTGATATTATATAACTGACCTCACGTTATGCTAATATTGTATAACTGTCCATATTATAGAACTGTCTTCACGTTATGTGTGTAATGCTTTTTTTATAATGACAGTATTTTGTAAATTTCATTTTACGACTAAGTAAGACTTAAGAATTGAATCATTGAAAACGAAATTACGCAATTTTGCAAATCAATAAAGTCGTCCACAAAATTCTAAACTGTGGCACTGATAAATCTCTGCAAGATTTGAAAACAGTCGCCTGGCTTCATTAGTCTAGGAATAATCTAGAATTGTAATAGAAGCTTGCAAATTCAATTACTATGTGAATCCTGCAAGGAATCTGGCATGAATGTGAAGTTGATTTGAATATCAACATAAAACTAATGGCATCAAGTCTGAGATCTGTATAAAGTAACCGAAAAGTAACCGAAAATAAAATAGTACTAACAGTGATATACACATGCTACTCAGATACATCAAAAATTATATCTACGGAAGCTTATCAGGGCCTTCACTTATCTAAAGGTTTAACGTCATGTCAACTTGTTTCTTCTCGTTTTGACCAAAAACATTCCATGAAGACGTTATGATTAATACGTAATCCATAAAACATTCCATGGAATGTATTTGGTCAAAACGAGAAGAAACAAGTTGACATGACGTGAAACTTTTAGAAATGTGGAGGCCCTGATAAGCTTCCGTATATAACAATATAAGTGACGATAATTGTTTGTAAAGTCAACAACTATTTTGCGAATTTTTGTCAAACATGATGTTTCCGAAACTTTATTTTTTTCCTTTCAATCATTGACACTTTACCAGCACTCAATAGCGCGCTCTTTTCAACTGAGTATTTAGTGAATTTCTCAAGAATTGAAGATTGTAGGAAATAAAAATATAATCAAGACAAAGTCTAAATATAATCAAGCCAAAGTCTAATAGTTCAACATTCAAGAGTACAGTCATACCCTTGACATTTTAACACTGGTGTAAAAGTGAATAATATTCCTTGGACTGCGTTTAAACTTAAAGCAGCATGCCTCCAGATTCGTGCTTATTTTCATGAAAATTAATTTAAAAGTAAAATATTGTAAAGTAAACAAGGAAGTAATTTAAACATTGCAAATGACACAATCCACGTAAATTAGCAAAATAAGGTCAAAATATGCAAAAATACCCCTTAAAATTACTGCAAATTTAGTCATTACTCGCACATAACATGTACCCGAAATTATTTCTTGAACCTTGAATCATTTTACTTTTCTTTAAATCTTAGTATTTTTTCTCATGAAATATTTGGCCCATCTGGAGGCACGCAGCTTTAATGAGTAAGGAAATAAATGATACCGCAAGAGCATAATTCACTGGAAGTCTTTAATTTCACTTATCATTCTAAATATTTGTTATTATGAAACATTTGGTTTGTGTTATTGTACATCTTATCGAGTTAAGTTAATTTTATTGCAATCGTCCTACAGAACGATCATTGTCATACTTATTTTACAATCATCTTACTTTCTGTACAAACACTAACTCAGAACAAAGTATATACATATACAGTTATGAATCTTTGAAAGTTATTGGATTACAAAGACAATTTATAACGTACAGTATTAATTAGAACGATTTACAAGTAGCTAATGATTCTGTATTGGCAGTATACCGTTTTATTAGTGGATAGCTTCCTTACGGAAGCTTATCAGGGCCTCCACTTATCTAAAAGTTTCACGTCATGTCAACTTGTTTCTTCTCGTTTTGACCAAAAACCTTTCATGACGACGTTATGATTAATACGTAATACATAAAACATTCCATGAAGACGTAATGATTAATACGTAATACGTAGAAGTTTTTAATCATTGCAAAAACACTTTTGTTGAATTACGTGAGCTATTTGTCAATGCGAGTAACGCCTTTGCGTCTTACTAAATATTTCAGCAAAGTCGTGAAATCTAGAAGTTTCAACAGGATTTTCGTCGAAGAGACAAAAGCTTTAAGCATATCGAGAAAAATTCAGTTGCAATACCTAAAAGCTTCTCATCTTTGTCAGTACATTTTATTGAGAAATGCAAAAACATCTTATCAATGCGAATAAAAAATAAGTCGACTAAGCGCAAAACATCTCACCAACTGTAAGCCCTGATACGCTTCCGTACTTCCTTCAATAAATACATTTAACAATGTTCATGTATTTATCTTCGTAAAAGTTTGCACAATAAATGAAACAATTATGATGTTAACTACGTCACAATGTCATGTTATATATAAATTACATTGCCTGCATTACAGCAAATATTCTTGTCCTGTCTATAGCCAAGAAGTTTGTAAGTTGTTGGAACACTGTACCTTTTAAAATATCGGAGATTGAGATTGTGCCAGAAAATAAGAACGTAACGTAAATCCTGAAGACATTTGATGTAGCAAAACCCCTAGAATAACAAGAGGTATAAATAAGGGCGGAATTCGTCATTTTATTCTGTCAGTAACAACATGCAGTAGTGTACAATTTGTATTTTTTTGAATTTCAAAAAACTAAAAAGTTTTAAATATTCATCAGAAAAATTACTTTTCAAACGTTTGTCTTTACAAAGATTACATGATTGTACATATAAAGACAAATATAAATCTTTAAAAAAATAGAACTGTCCTTATTACATGAATCAAGTTTCAAAGTATATATACTTATATTCCTGAGACATCATACGATAACTTTGTACTCGAACAAAAATTATACGGTACTTTTATTTACTATTGGGATTGTTTGAATAAATGGATAAATATTTTATATATAATCAATACATATTTCTTATTATTTCATCTACATATAAAACGTTCCATATCCGTAACAATTAACGTCATCCGATTTCTCCAAGATAATGCAACTTATCACAATTATCTATGGTTTTGTTATCTTCTAGTAATGGCAAATATTCCAAAACATAATGTAAACGTTCACTCCAACAATAACTAGACACAACAACGTCATTGGTGTGCATGTTGGCCAGTAAATTACATCCATTGATAATAAGGTCAAAGATCAAGGTCACAGTGACAGTGGAAAATTCTTGTCCGATCAATAACTTTAGAAGGAATAAATCTAGGTTTGTGAAACAAGGTTGGGACATTGCCAATGGCTAGTAGATAATTTCTTTTAATTTAAGGTACTTCAAAGTTAAGTTCAAAGGTCGAGGTCACAGTGACATTTTGTCGAAAATAGTTGAACGATCAAAAACTTGACAAGGAATAAAACAGTGTTTAGGAAACTTCAAAGGAACATTGCCATTGGCTATGATTAAAAGGTAATAAGGTCAAAGATCAAGGTCACATTGACACTTAGTGTGAAATCCTTGTCCCACTAGTTTCATTGAGTCCTCTCACATTTTAAAATGGTACATCTTACGACAGCACTCGCTGGGCGTATCATGATCTGACAGAAAGAGCCCATGTTTATTAAATGGTGCAAGAGCACCAAAAGATGTAAAAGACTTTTGAAGAACATCTGTAAAAATAGCAAATTTAGGTAATATGAAACTGTCATTAAAATTTATTAAGTTTGTTTGTCATTTAAAAATATAACACACTGAAAACCTTTCAAGTAGTATTACGTACCTCGATAAACTTGAAAGTAAAGGTCATATAAATAGCCATCCAATGAAATAACATAATGTTATTGTATTCTGTATTGATTAGTATTGATAATGCTAAAGAATCATAAAATTCACCTCATATTGGCATTATATACATTCTCTTATACAAATGCGATCTTGATAAAATAGAATAATTTCCTTTCCTTTCTTGTATTTTGTTTAGAATATTTACATGAAATGTTATTTCTATTTGTATATGTATATTTACTATTTGTGTTTTTATAATAGGAATTGTGCATATCTCAAGCACAATTCCAAGGAAATGACATGCCCTTAATATAATTTCTACAAAATGAAACTCCTAGTATGATTACATTAATGGCAAATATATAGTTCATAAAGTAATTACAATGGTTATTATGGAAAAATAAGCTATAAAAGTGCAAAATGCATAATGACATCTTGGCGATGTCTTATGCATTAAATACATTTGTTGCGTCTCTTTATATAACTGAAAGATTTTATTACATTATGGCATCTTGTTGCATTTTTTGCCGTCGTGATGGCGACTGAATGTCTGTTAAATGCTCTAGTGCTCATCTGGAAATGTCTTTTATCCAAGTTATCTTTTTCCCAATTCATTTTAAGATCCACCTCTATTTAACAATCTCATTAGGGAAAATTAAATAAATACAACATTCTCTTAATCAATAAAACTTTCAACGAGACCCTGTAATCTTGCTCAGATAAATCAGCAAACAAACTTAAATTATGATCTATGATAACCGTCTTCCCGACATTATACGTCTAGAAATAATTCAGTGTTTTATAGGAGTATGCTTTAATTTAAGACTTCAAATTATACCATGATTTTCCTGTTCTAGGTCTTAGGTGTAAGTTGGAGTATGATCGACAATATCAATTTGTTTACATTAAGATTTCACTGGTAATTGCCTGTCGGGTACATTCCGATAGTAAAATCCCCTCTAAAAATGACCGACATGACGAGTTGCCAAAACAAAACCATCTTACTGATTTCCCAGTACGGGGGGACACTGTAGTATAGGTGTGAGTGTAGGGGGACACTGTAGTATAGGTGTGAGTGTAGGGGGACACTGTAATATAGGTGTGAGTGTAGGGGGACACTGTAGTATAGGTGTGAGTGTAGGGGGACACTGTAGTATAGGTGTGAGTGTAGGGGGACACTGTAATATAGGTGTGAGTGTAGGGGGACACTGTAATATAGGTGTGAGTGTAGGGGGACACTGTAATATAGGTGTGAGTGTAGGGGGACACTGTAGTATAGGTGTGAGTGTAGGGGGACACTGTAGTATAGGTGTGAGTGTAGGGGGACACTGTAATATAGGTGTGAGTGTAGGGGGACACTGTAGTATAGGTGTGAGTGTAGGGGGACACTGTAGTATAGGTGTGAGTGTAGGGGGACACTGTAGTATAGGTGTGAGTGTAGGGGGACACTGTAGTATAGGTGTGAGTGTAGGGGGACACTGTAATATAGGTGTGAGTGTAGGGGGACACTGTAGTATAGGTGTGAGTGTAGGGGGACACTGTAGTATAGGTGTGAGTGTAGGGGGACACTGTAATATAGGTGTGAGTGTAGGGGGACACTGTAGTATAGGTGTGAGTGTAGGGGGACACTGTAGTATAGGTGTGAGTGTAGGGGGACACTGTAATATAGGTGTGAGTGTAGGGGGACACTGTAGTATAGGTGTGAGTGTAGGGGGACACTGTAGTATAGGTGTGAGTGTAGGGGGACACTGTAATATAGGTGTGAGTGTAGGGGGACACTGTAGTATAGGTGTGAGTGTAGGGGGACACTGTAATATAGGTGTGAGTGTAGGGGGACACTGTAATATAGGTGTGAGTGTAGGGGACACTGGTATAGGTGTGAGTGTAGGGGGACACTGTAGTATAGGTGTGAGTGTAGGGGGACACTGTAATATAGGTGTGAGTGTAGGGGGACACTGTAGTATAGGTGTGGAGTGTAGGGGGATAGCGTGTAACGTTAAACCTTTATTGGCACAGTGAACAATTATAAGAAAAATAATCTATTTCGTTAATAATTTTATATACGAAGTACATCTGTACTGGATAACAGGTGACACGGCCTTGATAGAAATGTCTTTGTTTAACATTTATACATTGTTGAATGTTCTGGTTATATTATAATATTTTTTATTTATATAACTATATAGGTTTGTCGGGAAAACATTTGTTTGACATTTACATTTGACATTTGAAACAGGGACGAATACCTGTGATATTTCCTGGAACTTTTTCTACCACATTTAACCAGAAGTCATAGATATAAAACCAGGAAAAGAGGACACGACAAATACAGCTAATATATTTCATTTTCTTTTAAATGCTTAGTCTTTATTTGAAATGATTTATATGATAAGGGTTATATTTAAGTTATGTTTTTGGATCAGTTGATCACAAAATGCTCAATGATCGTATAACGTCCTTTGTTCTTCATGAACTGAGATCCATTACTTTTTCAAAAAAGAATATCTACTCTTGACCAAAAGTTTATATATGGTTTCGGACCATTCTAAGTTGAATATTTATATTTTTATCAGAAACAATAAGGCATAGAACTTTGACAAATTTTATATTTTATCATTGCCTTGAAGTCCTCTATAAAGTTTTGAATGAGAAATGTATGCTCACCTGGACAAAGCAGTGTCAGACAACGATTGGCCTGCTGTCGGCTACAGAATCTACACGCGCGATCAGTGCAGATAAAGTTCAACAGGCACATCTCTATACAGTCAGTACATAACTTGAAATTTTACCTAAACTGTTTGTCCAGACAGATAGATGGACAAGTTCATTTAAGATATTTAGCAAAATATGGACGCATGCACATCTATATTAAAAACAAATTTCCCATTAATAATACTATTATAGTCCTTTACAATATGTAAATCATGTCCTCTCTAAATTGCTCGCGTTCAGTATTTTACTTGTTAAGAAAATGGTACGTCTTTTTCAAAGCTATAAAACGTACTAAGATATTTGTTATTTAGCATTGATTTATCTGTCAGATAGATTCTTTACATCTATCTTGCATCGGTGAAAAAAACAAGATATTCTTGTCCTGGCCGTTAGTATGAAATAGTGCGTTACATGAAATTAGTATTGTCAAAGTATATACGATCATTACATCTGGTGCCTGGACGCTGGGGACAGTGGCATTGATGTGTCATATAAAATAATGTATATGATGGTTTCCTAAATAACCAAGGCGTCTCTAAATAATGCTGTTATAAAGTCCTCAGTGTCTATACTGTTCCTATTAAATCATTTTTAGAGAAATATTTTTTTTTTAGAAATAAGCAGTGCACTTTGCTTTGCAAGAATATATTGATAAGTACTTGTAAAGAGTAACATATTTAGTCTTTTAATAAGTGGTTAATAGTAGATATTTCACTGTTAATCTATCGACGATGTGACTAAAATGACTTGTTAAAATACAAAATAAATATAAAGAAATTTAAAGACAATTTCATGTTAATCAAATTATTTTAGTGTTATACTTTCATTACTATAAGAATTTTCTATTATTTGAATCATTAACACCACTTTACATTCAGGGCATATACAGATCGCATGTTTATGCACAAACAAACAATAATACATTATTCACAGACAGAAAGAAATGTTACCTATGAAATATTCCACATCAACAATAATTACTGACATCAGATTTCCTCAAGATAAGGTAACTTATCAAGATAATACTGTACATTTATTCTCTCCGTACAAATGTAAACTCGCAAAAAATGTATTTATTTCTGTAAAATCTTCGTTTCAGGAATCCCTAAATGTACTTTGTAATTGTATGTACACTCCATATTATATTGCCTGGAGTTCGTCAGGGATCTATTCTGGGTCCCCTGTTATTCTTAATATACATTAAAGATATAATTGCCTTTTCAAATACAAATGTACGGAAACGTATAGCGACCACCACCCCTATATGATATATATCAAATGACATTTTTTATAGTATTATAGTATGTTTGTTATATGTAAATATAATTTGAGGAAAGAAATACATATTTAAAAAGATGTAAGTGTATTATTTTTTCATTATGTCAGAAAGTTAAAAGCAGTTTATCTTGCATTATAAGATAAAAAACGTACGATAGATTACGAAAAAATACGTATTATATATGATTTACAACAAAACTTGATTTAATTGCTTCCTTTATATATTGCGTGGGATTTTTCTGTCCTCATTATCAAATATAAACTGTAAAATATGTTATATTATAATAAAAACACCTCAAATATATATAACTAATACATATAAATGAACAGAAAAAACTCACATAAATTTTAATTCAGAAATATTAACAGCAGATTGAGTAAAAAATATATATTCAATATCAAATAACAATTAAAATATTGGTCAAATAGATATCATGTGTTAAATAAATTGTCTAAAATTCTGTTTTACTAACATTCAGAGGCGGAGGATATTACTAGATACATATTCCAGATCAAGTAAGTTTGTAAAAATTGGTTAGGTATATAATATGTAATAAATAAATTGTCAAAAAATCTGTTTTAACTAACATATAGGGGTGGTCGCTATACGTTTCCGTACAAATGCCATATGTCGATGGTGCAATTTAAACAGTATATTAATCCATCCAAATAAAACAAAATTCATGATATTATGTACGGAACACTAACTTTATGTATTGCAAAACGAAACAAAAATAGAAAATGTAAAAATACAAAAATTATTAGGTGTTTATATTGATAATAACTTGTCCTGGAATTACCAAATTGAAGCACTTTGTTCAAAACTTAACTCAAAAATAGCATTTTTGAGGCGTATATCTTATTATTTGACAGATGAAATGAAACAATTATTTTATAATGCATATATAATGTCGAACTTTGATTATTGCTGTACTGTTTGGAGCAAAAAAATTGTAAGGTCTTTAAATAAAATAGGTAAAAAACAAAACAAAAAAGAGTTGCAAGGATCATTTTAAACAAAACATCACGGATAAGAAATCAAGATATGCTGAAAGAACTTGGGTGGATGTCATTCAATGGACGATGCATTTTTTATACTGGAATTCTTGTAAATAAAGCTTATAATAACCTAGCCCCATCTTATATATCTGAAATTTTGACTTTTCCAGCTATTTTGACTTCACAATTTAAGGTCAGCATCACATAATGACATAGTTATACCTAAACACCGCACAAACTATGGTAAAAAGACTTTTTGTCACAATGGAGCAGATTGCCACCTAATATACGTTCACATCTTTTAAAAATATAAAGTTTAAGAAAACGTATCTTGCAGATGAAATAAATATCTTCATAACTCTGTCATTATGCATGTATATTTGTTAAAATATTTGTAAATGAAAATTGTATAAATGATATTAAATATATAAAAGGAGAGTTTGTCAAATAAAATTTATATGACAAAATCTTAATGGAATAGTTGTTATTGTTTTATGATGCTTTGTGTTTGTAATTCTATATATTGTTTAGAATCCACATTTAAAATTAAAATATGTTATTTGTTTTCTACAATGGTATATCTTCCTTTTTTAATTAAAGATATTATTATATTATTATGAATGTACATTTTAATACTTTGTGTGATTATATACAAGAGGTGTCTCAAAGTTCGCATAAAGATCTTTTATGAATAATATAACGCATTCTTTGCATTTTTAAGATCACATTATTGACCATTGAATTATCTAGCCACGTGGGAAAATTGTACTTTATCTGTACATTAAGAAAAAAAAATAATGTAGTGCACGTGCATGTCTCGCAATGTATTACAGTCAACATTAACTTCTCGTATTGTATATAAAGTATGCCCGTCTTCCGTGCAATATAGTGTACATTGCATGCAAAGTATATAAAGTGCACATGCATGTCTCACAGCATTTCGCTTACTTTACTGATTGAATTCATTATACAATTTATATACATGGATTGAAATGTATGTACACTTTAATACCTTCTTTCCTTGCATGATTCAAAGATATCAATACAATACCCCATTCAACAATTTATTTGAAGTGTCACAAACATATTTATTTGACTTGTAAATCAGTTTTTAGTGTATTTCATAGTAAATCGTATGTTTCTTCAAACACTCTAGTCTGCCATATTCTGTATTGATAAACTGGCATCATTCATTTTCTTATATAAATGCAAATGACTTTCACATAACATGAAGACATTTAGATTGAATATATGTCGATTGACGTATGCATAATTATGGGATATAACCATAGATATTTTACAAACTTCGATTAATTAAAAAAAACAATCTTTTGTTCGTTTGACATCCCAGAATTGCCAGCATTATTTGTTCTGATAATTTTACAAATAATTGTGATCTAGTCTTTTTTTTTACTGTTAGTTGTTATATTAGAAATATGAAAGGATAAAAGCAACTCGCCATATGCTCCTTCAGAACACATGCATGAAAAGACGTGTTTACAGAAGAAAATAGCATCAGAAAATCTTCTAATTTTGCTGTTACTTGTACAGAAATTCTGCACCCGTTTACACGTAGAATATTGCTTGAAACATGAATTTTGTCCAAAAACCAATATTGTTAGACAAATGCAAATATGTTATTCATAAGAAATGATATCGGCGTCTATGAATGCAAGAGTCTTGTTTGACTGGTTAGTAAATAATTCTGTTGCAATGCCTGTTACAGCAGGGGAATTCTTGTGTTTCATCAGGAATGGTTTTGAAGTGATGTATGCCAATCAAGCGTACGTATAAACACATGCTCTCCCCTCACATCACTGCTGCTTACATTTATGTTTATGGACTAGCTCAGTGTGTCGCAAGAAAACATCAATTAGTTTCCATTTGTTAAAGAGCGGAGAGACCACTACTTTTATATCTTGTTCTAAGCATAAGCACTGAAATATGTCGTATGTAAGAATGCCAGAAATTCCTTTCTGTTTTGCGCTGGGTCCTCGCTATGTCTGGATTTTGTACTGTTACTTAAAATCTTTAATCTGAATACATGTTTTTTGGACTTACACTGGAGTGTTTAAATCCAGTCTGTGTAAGTGATAAAAATTTGTATCAAGAATTCTCTTGTCACTTTTTGTTTTGATTTTGAAGTTAAAACATTTTTACACGTTTATCTGAAATAGATCTATAGAAATATTTATCGGAATAAGGTACCATGTTTAATCATTATAAAGTTCCAATCTAATTAAAGTTCAGATTTCTTTATTTCGTGCTGCCGTGTATTGTGTTATTTAGGAGCAGATTTGAACATTTTAAAATCTATGGTGATACATGGAATGATTAATTAAGAATTATCACGAGACATTCTGCTGATATATTAGATAACATTTAAGAGATTATAAGTGATCAATTCATAACTGATTGGATTTTATAGCTGGACCATATACTGGACGTCGTTTAAAGATAAAAACAGTAAGTCATTTATATATTTATGCAGACTTTCGTTAACTTCTTTTATAAGAAATTAAACATTTTATACAAGTTCATGTTATGATAAAGATAATTGATATTAATCTGGACTAAACTGTTCTTATTTCTTATTAATATGTTTAGCGATATGTTTATTTGCCCCGATGCTATAGAAACCGGTCGGCAATATATTAAATTGAGAACAATCAGTTAATGTCAGTTTTTCTTTTCTTTAGTATAATTTTCTTCTGCTGGCACTTTTTTTTATCACATATATATAATCTTTAAGACTTATCACGAGTATATAACAGTCACCAGCTGAATATTTTTGAAGAAAAACAAAACAAAAACAAAACAATGCACAACAAGCATTGAAAGCGCTACCGAAACAATTGAAAAATGTGGAGCTTATTTCATATGAGCCGTGTCACGACAAAACCAACATAGTGGGTTTGCGACCAGCATGGATCCAGACCAGCCTGCGCATCCGCTATCAGTTTCTCTACTTGTAATAGGGTTTGTAAGCTAACAGCATGGATCCTGATCAGACTGCGCGGATGCGCAGGCTGGTCTGGATGCATGCTGGTCGCAAACGCACTATGTTGGTTTTGTCATGGCGCGGCTCAGTTATATATATATATATTATATGCCATCAGTATGCTGTATTCTCGGTTATTTAAAAATATTATTCTAATAGAAACGTTAGCCGTTCTGTCACCTTGATAATCTTTCTAAACAAAATGATTTATCTTTATTTTCTTGTCTAGTTTTATATTAATGAGATTTGTGTCTTAAACTTCTGAGCAATTGAAACTTCAAATGTTGACTGTGATTTGTGGTGGAATAGAAGATCAGTTATTGTTAGATTTAGATGTGAAATGCTATGTTAAACTAAAGCTGATGGAGTTTCAAAATGTATAATGTGATTTAACGTTGAGTAAAGAGAAAGCTCCCTCCTGATATCTTTATTCCATTTATATCATCTCACCATATTAGCCACGATTTTATATTTTTAAAATTCCAACTGACCTTGTTTGTATGTCGTAACATATTCAGATACAACCCCTGGGGTATATTAACCTTGACATAAACTAATACAGAAAATTTTACATGTTGTTTCCTTTAACTCTCTGCTAGTCAAATCGTTAAATGAATAAGCTTGTCAGAGCCAATCTCTGTGAGATGTAAAATAACAGCAATCAATTTTCATTTGTTATTGACAGAAAGTGCTAGTATCCGTCTGAGAGTTTATACAATTTTCTCGTGCACGTTGTGTAATATTGCCGCAGGATGTACGAAATCTGACATTGGGTTTCAGGGGAGAATAGGTCTTACCTATATACTAGCTTTCTCAGAAAATATAACAGTTTTCATTATCCAACTTTACGTTCGTTTCTTTTACATCATAAACATAAAGTGTTGCAAACTCTTTTATTTTTCTTGGCACTTTGCTATGAAATGTATGTGCCTGGGGTTTGATGAAAAGTAACGTAGTGTTTTGACTGGAAAATGAATAAAAATATCATCGGGTGATCACACGTATATGTTATTACACAATTCTATTGTATATTTCGATGAAAGTGAAATTTGGAATAATTTTAAGTGATGATTCATTGAGTTATAAGGAATACAAATATATAAAACATATCTATATTCTCTCGGTACGATGTATTGTGTTTTGGAGGAGTTTTATATAGCATTTATCTATTAAGACATGTTTTTAAACATGTAATGTTTGCTCGGATATGATAATTTAAAATCATTTGAAAGCATGTATTTCTGTAAAATTAGTAAACAATATATGAAATAACTTTGTTATAGATAGATACTGTAGAACAATAACGACTTGAAAAAAGACATCAACATATTATCGTGGCAGGCTAGGTCAAACTCAAAAGTAAGTTTTTTTTCACACTTTTTTTTTTGCATTACATCTGCTTCTTATGCCAAATGTCTTTATGTGGCAATCTTATTTTAGCTCATCTCAGTTCAAATAACGAAATGTAGCTATAATTTTCTTATTTTAGTCTAAACAATCACTCAATGACCAAATCTGCAAAACTTATCTGGATTTCATTTTAATGGTTGGCACTGAAATAACACCGCAATGCATATTATTTTTCTATTTTTAATAAAGCAACGACAATTCTACATCCAACATAGCTTAATGATCTTGCTGACTAAAATTATTTGTAACAATTTGTAATATGATACTCATATAAGTTAACAGGATTTGTGAGAATATTTCTTAGACATGTATATATAGCACGTTTTATTCTTCGTTCTCCTCAATGAACATTTCCGATACTTATCTTAAGACATATTTCATACTGGCAAAATGCACCAAATTGATCTAAAACACGTGTTGAACTACTTCAAGTTTTTCTCTGCAGAGAAAGGAAAATTCTTATTCAACTTGTACAAGATTACATAACGGATAAGAATGAACCACCTAGGGGGTTACCATTTTATATATCATCTATAACAGATTTAAAATACAACAGAATCATCTACATCAGATTATATATCATTCTGTTTATTACAAGGGTTTGTAAAATACTCGTACACTTCCAAACGTATCATTGCTTCTGCTTTACACATAACTGAAATATCAAGTGTTTTTGAGAACGATTAAAATAAACCTTATAGAAATGTAACATTTTCTTGCTCTTATACAATGGCTTAGTGCTGCTAATTTAAACACACCATTTTTTCCAGTCATTTCGATTCTTTAGGAATGCTTTGAAATATATTTAATTTTCTTGCTTCCTGTATTTGTTTAAAATGTCGACAAATACAAAGGATGATTATAATTACAAAAATATAATGGTTGCATAGGAGAATATCATATTCCATTTAGACACTTTGTCGATTTAATCATGCTATATATAAAATTGGACATAAAAGTATTGAGATTTTGATTGGTTTATTCACATTGTATTTGGACTGATTGTGCACGAAAGAGAGGTAGTGATTGGCGACAGTTTAATACCATAAAGTGTCTCATAAGCTCTTCCATTTCTACAGAATCGATGATACTAGACTATCTTTAGAAAGATTAATGTCCTTGTTGTTTGCTATCTAAATGGTGATAATTCAATGACGTCATGTAAGATCTTTGACGTTATTTAAACAATTATTTTCCATAAGACATTTTTTTAATTAATGAAAAATTCTCCTCAACAACAACCTATGATTTCTTTCAGATCATTCCAGCAAAGCCACATTTTATTCGATTAGATCATTCCAGCAAAGCGACATTTTATTTGATTAGATCATTCAAGCAAAGCGACATTTTCTTTGATTAGATCATTCCAGCAAAGCGACATTTTATTCGATTAGATCATTCCAGCAAAGCGACATTTTATTTGATTAGATCATTCAAACAAAGCGACATTTTATTTGATTAGATCATTCCAGCAAAGCGACATTTTATTTGATTAGATCATATAAATAAATTGTATTTTGTACTTATTGTCAGTTATGTTTATAAAGCCATGTTAATTAACTACTGACTAATATTTTATCATACTCTGATCTGATGGAGTTATAACTTGGAACAGTGAAATAAAAATCAATAGGGAAGGAGGTAAAATACAAAATGTAGTATGTAAAATGTAGTTTGAAGAAAATACATGTCTGACAAATCTTATGTAGTTAACATATAATTGCGTGAAAACCTTATATTGATAATACCATGTACTTGCGCGGAATGACTTGCCAAATTGCCCTGGGTTTAAGAATAATAATTTGGCTCGAAATATTTCTCGAAATATCAAGGTTAGAGCCCGTCTACACCTATCCAAGTCTTGAATGCAAGTATCATATTCTCTTGTATTGGATAGTGTAGACACCCTACTTGAATGAGTTTTAAAGAGAAATTATGTGACATCCAAGAAGATAATTCCTTGCAAGAAAGTTAGAACACGTTCTATTTTTCTACAAGTTTTTGGCTGTCAAGACACTGATAACACCGGTTTGACACAAAACATGTGCCCGAAAGTTTGATAGTGCTGTTATTTTTATTATTTTCTGACTTTTTGTTGTTGATTCAGTGTACATGCCCTTTGAATTTCAGTGAATGATTACAATGTCTTGGTCAAAGGAACAAACCAATACGCTGATACACAGAAGAGCAGAAAAATAAATAAATAAAAATAATTTACATTGTAAAAAAATAAAAAAGAGCTCTTTTTCAAGTAGAGTCAAAATGGATTTAAAATGATCTTGTTCATTTAGTGAATAACTTTCATTAAATAAAATTAAATAAAGAATTTGCATCAAAATAATTTTTTGTCACATTTTTTCAATTTTAAAAAAGAATGAACCCATTTCATTTACTCCATTCTGTTTTAGCTAATTGCATCATTTTCCCGCTTTTTTCACATATTTTACAGAAACATGATAGTCTTGCAAAGACAAAGGTATAAATCCTGGGCTATCTTAATGAGACATTTCAGTAAAAATTGTGCCTGAAAAAATGTTGAAAGGGCCATTTATTTAGCTTATCTAAATGTGACATGTAAGAAACTTGAATAGGTGTAGACACGGCCTTAGAATAGCCTTACTTCCTCTAGTTCTCGTAGAGACGTAGATCTAAATATTAACAATCACTGACAGAAGAGATTTGTCAAAGGAAATATTTAGCTGTCGCTGATAAATAAATTGTATGTTTAGTACCATAGAATGATGTCATTTATTTCATATTTTAGTTTAAACGAACAATTTAATTTTTACTTATGTTAAAATGGAATGATCACAAAATGAAACATGAAGCAGTTTAACATTAAGCCATGCCGTGCTGCAAAATAATAACACATGTTTTCTTTCTGCTTGAGGTAAGCGGTGAAAAGTACAGGTAGATATTATCTCCGGTATTTTTTGTAATCTTCAATTATGCGATTTATTTACCACATAGGTGTATACATGAAATTATTATTATGGTTGTAAAGGTTATCTTAGTTTGAAATAAAATACAGGTATAAAAACACTAAACAGATACAATATCTGTGAATAATTATCAGCCCAATAGCTATTCCACCAGAAACACATAGAGTTTGTGTATATTAGAATATTATTTAAATCTAAGATATAGAAATATGTCACTATTGATAGTGGTATCATACATGTACTTTGTACGGTGTTCCGGTTAGACAGTCGTTACTTTTTATTTAGTCTGTACCCGCGATGCACGATGGTGAAATCGCGATGGTACGATGGTGAAAACGCGATGGTACGATGATGAAAACGCGATGATACAATGGTGAAATCGCGGTAGCACGATGGTGAAAACGCGGGTGAAAACGCGATGTAACATTGCGTTTTCACCATCGTACCATTGCGCTTTTTCACCTTCGTACCATCGCGTTTTCACCATTGTACCATCGCACCATCGTGCCAATGTGTTTTCATCATCGTACCATCGCGCTTTCGCCATCGTACCATGGCGACATCGCGATGTCACCATCGTACCATCGTTTTTTCACAATCGTACCATCGTGTTTTCATCATCGTGCCATCGTAACATCGAGTTTTCACCGTCGTACCATCGTGCATCGCGGGTAGGGAAGAAATAAAAAAATCACGATTGTCCTAACGGAACACCGTAAATTTGACATGAAACAGTTATAGTTAATGTCTTCTATTTTTAATTATTTACTGATAATATTATTTGTTGTGGAAATCACATGAATCCGAGCCTTTTAGATGGAATTGTTTTATAGTAAACCCTTTCTGTCTATGAGTATGATTTAGTAATTGTTCTATAACAGTGTTTATCGAACTTGATTAAAATAACTGTTGCATTTTTATCTGATATTGTTATGTTACCATACTGACTGATATGTATGGGCACTATTTCTCATAACTTATCACAGGATATGTAGACAATAAACATAAATAACGACAATAATTTTCAATTGCATAATATCAGATTGCAATCAAATGTCGTTCTTGGAAATTTCACTCTTGAAATGTTTTACTGATGAAGTTATCAGTTGAGGAAACTGAATGCAAATGAATCAGTGTTAAATACCAAACAAAATCTAGCCAATATTGCAATGACATCATTGCGAGAGGAGACTAGTTTCTGTGATCAGCTGAAGATCGTGAATACATGAAAGGATTATCATGTCTCTAGCCAGAAATCAATGTTCAATTATTAGACCATTCATGTGCATACAATAACGACAGTTATATAATGATTGTAAGTTAATCTCAAATTATATTGATCCCTATTAAACAAGTCAACATATTGAAATACATTAAATTGAATGCAATTTATACAAAGGTTTGTTGTCTTAATCTGTGGCGTTTCGAATTTCATTTAAATAAATCTCTTTATTTTATTAATTAGTTTATTTCAACTTGTTGAACACGATTTGTAGAAATTTCATTCGAACTACATTTTAACAAATTGTAAAATATTTTTGTTGTGACAACAACGATGTTTGATGAATTATTGTTAAATGTTTAAGCAATATATCAGCGACCCAAGTCATGAAAATTGTTAGCCGGTGCCAGGGATTGAGAAGGTGGTTTGCAATATTAGCCGATGTCATTCAAACCGAGCTTGCTAATTTCCATTTCGTCGTGCTTTAATATATTCACTTATTTCTGTATTTTTTCAAATATGTGCCTAACAACCTTCACCAGCGTTCAGAGTTTTATCCCAATTATTTCTTTTCCTTTTATCAAATGATAAAATTATAAATATTACATTCATAGTTTGTTGATATAACCATAAATAAGACATTTTTATACAAGCTGGCAGGTTAAAAAAGATATATGCATATACGATGAACTCTTATAGGCTGTATAAAGACCATAAAAGTTATTTGTTTCCTATATAAAAAAATAAATTAAATAAAAAATAAGCGATGCAGAAAAAGTTGTTGC